ACCAGTAACAACATTTTAGTAAATAAAACAAAGAAGGGGTCAGTTTATACCAGGTGATTCAGATGGCGCTGGACAGGCCCTATAGCATTCCACGGGGCCCACCCAAGGCCATGGCAGGTGAGAGGTGAGAGGAAGGGGGAAGAGAATGGCAGGCCTCTGCTCCCACCCACCCCTTCCTACCATGAAAGGGCCTGTCATCAAAATAATTTAACGATCACACTAGGTTACCTCCTAGTGCCTTCCACCTGTTAGCCTAACTCCAGAGAGATCCCAGCTCTTCTCACTCTGACCACATAACACCCCACTGGCACTCTGTACGAGTCTCTGAGGCTTAGAGATAGTCACATCTTTACACTTGCTTTTATTCTAAGTTGATCAAATATCTCCTTAAAGAATATTCTGAATGTGACTTGATGTGTTTTATTATTTCTTGACCATCTCAGAAACAAAGACCACAAATCCAAACGGTTAACACCTTGTCTTTGATTCATACGCGGAATAAAATGTAGAAATGATTGCTTGTCAGCATTCAAACAAGGAAATACACATTTATTCTAATTCCGTGCACCGTTAATGCACAGGGAGCTCCCTCAACAATGCCAATCACTTAGCAAGACAGCCAAGAATCAGGGCTTTCCGAGGCTCATTCCATAAAATCTTAAACCAGATGCCCCCTGACTCTCCGTTTTTTCCTCCTTCCAGAAAGCGCATGTCTACGCAGACGAAGACGAAGGGCGGCCGGCCAACGACTGCCTGCTCATCTATGACCACGAGGGCGTGGGCTCGCCCGTGGGCTCCATCGGCTGCTGCAGCTGGATTGTGGATGACCTGGAGGAAGACTGCATGGAAGCGTTGGGTCCCAAGTTCAGGACGCTGGCCGAGATCTGCCTGGACACCGAGATCGAGCCGTTTCCCTCCCACCAGGCCTGCATCCCCATCAGCACGGACCTCCCTCTGCTCGGGCCCAACTACTTCGTGAGCGAGTCCTCGGGCATGACGCTCTCGGAGGCGGAATTCCAGGCGGAGCTGGCGATGGCGGAGCCCGCGGTGCACGGGGACATCGTGGTGACCGAGACCTACACCACCACGGAGCCGTGCGTGCAGCCCACCACCATCGTGTTCGACCCGCAGCTGGCGCCCAACGTGGTGGTGACGGAGACGGTGATGGCGCCCGTCTACGACGTCCAGGGGGGCCTGTGCGTGCCCGCCGAGCTGGCCGGCGCCCAGAGCCTCATCTACACGGAGCGCGTGGTGGCCGGCCCCGGCGGGCCTGAGGCCAGGGGCGGCAGCGTGGCTGACGGCTGCGTGGGGCCGGTGGGGAGTGGCATCTTGGTAGGGCCAGAGATCCAGGTGACACAGATGGTGAGTCCCCCGGACATCCACATCAGCCGAACCATTGGCTCCACGTCCCCGATGGCATCCCGACACAGAGTGACACGCTACAGCAACATACATTACTCCCAGCAGTGAGCCCTGTCAGTGCTCACAGAGTGACACGCTACAGCAACATACATTACTCCCAGCAGTGAGCCCTGTCCGTGTTCACAGAGTAACACGCTACAGCAACATACATTACTCCCAGCAGTGAGCGCCCTCCGTGTTCACAGAGTAACACGCTACAGCAACATTCATTACTCCCAGCAGTGAGCCCTGTCCGTGTTCACAGAGTAACACGCTACAGCAACATTCATTACTCCCAGCAGTGAGTGCTCTCCGTGTTCACAGAGTAACACGGTACAGCAACATACATTACTCCCAGCAGTGAGCGCCCTCCGTGTTCACAGAGTAACACGGTACAGCAACATACATTACTCCCAGCAGTGAGCCCTGTCAGTGTTCACAGAGTAACACGGTACCCTAACATACATTACTCCCAGCAGTGAGCGCCCTCAGTGCTCACAGAGTAACACGCTACAGCAACATACATTACTCCCAGCAGTGAGCGTTCTCCGTGTTCACAGAGTAACACGGTACCCTAACATACATTACTCCCAGCAGTGAGCGCTCTCCGTGTTCCTTACCCCCTGGAATCACCAACATACCCACCAAAGATGGATAATGCACTATATCTAACATTTTAATAGTCGACAAATATTCAAAATTTTAAAACGTAATGGCATTCTTTGATCACATCTTTTTTGAGGGGATAGATATGGCTGAGAACATTAGATGAGCCTTTTTAAATCATTTCTGATTTTCAATAATACGCCAAATTTTATTGAAGAAATGTGCTGTGTCCTTTGACACTGCCTAATACAGAGCACACACTCCAAAGGCGAACCTCAGAGGTCTCTGGGCCTGTAAACCTGGCCCAGCTGCCCTGGTCCTTGGAGGTGGCAAAGGAAGTCTTGTCTGCATTCACCAGACATTTGTGTCTCTAGAGAATTATCTCTATTAAATATATGAATTGAGAAAGTGAATAAAGTGTACATTTCTGAAAGGAAACTGAAAAGGAAGATGGAGCATTTAGCAATAGAAAAAAATAAAATCATTTGTCTCTCCAAACCGTTTCTCAAGATATGAAATATTTAGGGCATGTTTAATATAACATGGAAACAGGGGAAAGAGTTTGCCAGCTAAATGCATCACTGAAAATGGGCTATCAATATATATGTATAGATATGCACCTATATATTTGTGCATGTATACATAATCAATATGGATTGATTTTTGTTGCACTTTTATTGATTTGTATCATTAATTGTAAATAGCAATTAGAATAGCAAAACCAAAAATGAAAACACTACAGTATAAACAGTCCTTGGGGGAAGCAGTAGTTTTCCCCGTTACAGAGAATGTTTCCCTGCTCTCAACTACTGATGTCAGAAGAACATACGGAATACGGTTTAGTCAGTACCATTGACCGGAGCCACAGAGTTTTTATTTGGTGACTAGATCAAGTCCACAGGCACCTCTGTACATGTGTACAGTCAACAACTGAAAAGCTCTCTGTGCTGAGGGCTGGGCTTGGCTCTGTGCATACCTGGGGGAGAAGACAAGCATGATTTCTGTCTCACAGCGCTTCTAATTCACATCAAGACTTAGAATAAGACTCTGGGGATACATGTTTGAGTTCCCACCAAAGGTAATTAGTTAAGTATTTGACCATTACCCGGTTCTGTTTTTCCTTTCACACTGCTGCTTCTCCTGCGGAGTGCAGTGAAACGCATGTACAGATTGCTTATTGTTAATGCGCTCAGAGCTGGCCTGAGAGAAAGAAACTCCAGTGAGGTGGTTTTATTTAGTTCTGTAAAATGTGTAAACTGTAGCAGTGACTATAATATGACTCGTTAGATCATGTAAATGAAATAAATTTATTTCTGGGGACTTTCCTTTGGAAGGAAATAATTTTGGTGCTTCTTCCTTTATAAGTAAAACTATTGTAAAATCTGGGGCACCTCACATACGCTCTTGCCCAATGCTCTCATTTCACAGAAAAGGAATCTAGAACTGGAGACAGTGAGTGTCCCCACCAGCCAGTTATGGTACAAACTTGAACCCACCGCTTGGGTGCTCGGTAGGTGTGCGCTGTAATACTGTAACCTTAGTTCTAGAACTTCATCGGACACGGGAGGATCTCATTTGGCCTGTTGCATGGTCTTTGCTATTTTCTACTTGGAGGAAAAAGTCTCTCTCAAGAAAATAAAATGGCTTTGGGAGGTTAAAGTGTAGAATGGCTAAGACAGCACAATGCCAGGTTATTTACATATTTTCTATTCGCTTCCAAATTACACGTATTGCCAGTCATCACAGCCATTCCTTCCTTCGGTCATTCACAGCCAAGATTCTGCTGCATTTCATGACTCTACCGTTAGATGAAGTCCACAGCACAGCCAGAGAGCATGGCGTCGTGGCCATTCTCACAACCAAAAACCTGCAGTGTAGTACCACATTCAGCCCCGTGGCCGTATCTGACCTATTTTTTTAATTTTTATTCTAATAGGCCAGTCATTCTAAAAATTGTGAAACAATCCTCTATTATAAAGGCTAATATGCAAATTGTCCCCTCGACCGGGAGTTCGAACGGGAGTTAGACCAAGGCGCGGGGCCAACTGGTCAACCGGCCAACCACCTGCGGCCCCTCCCCACAGCCGGCCTGATCAGGTCGGACCCCACCCGTGCACCAATTCCTGTTAGTAAATCATTAAATGGAAGGTGATAATGGGATTAAAACTGAAAATAGTATTAGCTGTGAAAAATTATGAATAAAATACTACTGACAGATTAAAGTTTTCAAATTAGGTAAAAACCACTTGTGAGAAGGGCGAGAAAATTCTTCTGTGAGCTTTCTCTTCTCTCCATCCATCAATATGCAGCGATGTAAGGTGGATGCTCCCTCCATATAATCCTCGGGAGCAAACCCAGAGCCGTTTCATTTTCTCTCCTCTCTGTGGGGAGCAACCCCATCACTCCCAGACCCGTGGCCGTATCTGACCTCGTGTCACTCCCGCCTCGGAAATCAGTGGTTTTAAAAACATCATCCCAAACAAGCAAGATCGCCCCTTCACTGCTTCAGTTACGAGACTGATGGATCTAAGAGGTAAAGGTGACAAGCACTTGTGTTAGAGCTTAAAAACAAATCCAGAAGCCAGGAAAGGAGATGTAACAAATAAGTAAGTATGACAGAAGGTAGTTTGGGTCATATCTCCCGCCCTGCATGTTTACTTGAAGGGATAGCATTATCAAATGGAAAAATGGGTTGTCTTAGAAAAGTTTTATCAGGTGAAGGGAAAGGAAGACTATAGGAAGCAGAGTATTTATAAACTTGTTTCATAAAAAATATTTCCAAAAATTCCTTTTTGGATTAGATGCTTCTGCATGCAATGTATTACTAATGTAATTATGTTTTATAAGTTTCCTCAATAAAACGTGTTAAGAAAAAAATGTTTTGTTTTCTCTTTGGTGCATGTAGCATTCTATGCACAACCACACATTCGGGGGGGAAAAACCTCCCCACTGTGTTCTAGGTGAATATCATCATTAGCATCACATATATAATAGAGGAAAATGGATTCATTCATAAATTTAAGTTCAGAATAATTCATTTGCTTGAACATAATATAATTGTTATGTTATTAGTAAATGCTCACTATAAACTAACAAATCAAGTGAATGTAAATTATAGAATGTAAATTATAGAATGGATGCAATACTGTTCTGTATCAGAGGCACCAATTTCTGTCACCATAATGAAGGAATAGTCAGTACAGTTGGGGAACTGAGGAAGGCTTTCGAACAAGGTAAGATCTGAGCTAGGCCAGTAGAATTCTGTCTAACAGCCATTGGTTGATGGGTGTTTTGGTTGTTGTTTTTTTTCCTTTTCAAAACCATTTCTTTGATTTCTTGCTTAAGATCTGTAATAAATATATCATACAGCAGGGGGCAAACTAGAGTTTCCAGTGGTAAGACAAACGATCTTGACTCTTCATCATAATATATTTCTCAAAACAACCATAAATATCAAATAATGAACCTTAAATATTACACTTACATGTTACATGAAAGAAAAAGAAATTCCCAGAAAGCCAACCCTTACTGCCACTAAATATGGTATATTTTTTTTTACTTTTTTCTTGAATGTTACTGTATGAATGATTGTTACAATAAACATGTACTACATATCAAATACAGATGATAAAAAGTGATTTGCTAAAACAACTTCTTTACATTCTGTTTCAGCTTATTTAACACAGCGAATCCGAAGAAACAGAAAGAATTGCGATTGCGGGTCTGCCAGTAACCTTGCTTCTGTGGACCCTTCAGAAAGTTAATGAACCCAAACCTGGGGGGTGTCCTATCTTGTCAGAAATCACAGGGGGAGGAAACGAAACCATTCCCATCGTTACAAACACGTTCTGTGCTGAAGATAAGACGGCGACCGGCTGGCCCTGCCTGCGGCAGCAGGCGGCACGTGTGAGCAGCAGTGGGTGCGGAGCTCCTGTGCAGGCTGCGTGTGCGGGAGGGGCCCGTGGGGAGAACGCGTGTGCAGAGAAAGCACGTGGAAGGAAACTGAGAGCCGCCTCTTACCGCCACTGACAGAGAGATCAGCTCTGAGCACTGAAGTCCATTTCTAGAAAGAGGCCCGCCCTCGGGTTGGAAAGTCACAGTTTCTCTGTGATTAGCAGATGACTGGGTTCAAGGTCAGAAACCAGCGGGACGCACACGTACGGGAGGAGGCGCGCTGTGGGTGAGTGATGGTGAGGTGTTGATGCAGAAGCCATGGCATACCCAACGACAGCATCCATGCCGGCCGCTGGAAGTTCTCACTGTGAGTTTAACGTTTAGCAGGAGGAGCTAACCGGGCGGGGCCTTGGGCATCAGGGACAAGGAAACCAGGGAAGGCTGTAAAGAGAGAATAATTTAAAAAACAAACACAAGCATGCAAACTTCTGTGCAGGCATTATGCTAATCACTCTTCAAACACCCTCTTCCGGGGCCACCTGGCCTTCCCTGCAGCTGGCGCGCTGGGA